CTACCGTACAGTCCACCCCTTAACAGACCTTACTTGCCATGAATGTCACGGAAGCCGTGATTTTCCTGGGGTTCTTGCGCCTGGGTTTAACTCCTGTAAGACTACCACCCTGTACAGTAGAGACGACTGAGATTTACTCTTTAGTCGTCCTCTACAAGCTCCGATGCCGGAGCCTGGGTTACAGTGGGGGGAGGAGGGCGAGAGCCCGTAAGACATGAGTGTCCGGGCCTCCTCTCAAAGTTTGGCAAAAGACTCTCTCCTCTAAGTAGAGTCGATATCCTTTTGTTCGATATGAAGAACACTATGGGCAGCTTGTTTCAGTCTCGCCGAGAGTAAGGTTCATAAAGGGGCAAAAGTTTGCTTGCTCTCCCTTGTCTTTGAGCCGGTATTAACTCTAACAACTCGAGGTTCGTCTATGAGAATTTTCAATGCCGAGTTTTTACGAGTGTGAGTGTGTGTTGCAGAACACGATGTCGTTCCTGCTGACGGTGTATCAAGGCCCTCTACGTCAAATGTGGTGAGGGGTCGTATTAATGCGGTGGTGTCCCTTCCATAGACACTGAATGTACAGTCCCACAGGGAACTGTTCACGCCTGACGAGGGAAGCCAGACAAGAGAGTCAGTGTCTCTCACAAACATGCTACATGCCTTCGGCGCTATTTGGGCAATTCCCCTGTTGTCCCATAGGCGGAGCCGTTTGGATGGACATGCTGACCAACGACAGAGCCGCTGTCAGTTTTGTTCCCAATAATGTGCCCTTGTTTTTAACAGGGGGGCAATTATGTGGACGAGCTGGACTCAAACGTAGTATTTGTGTCTTCCTTCGTACAACAAGGGTTCGGGTCTGACATGAAGGGGTCTCCCTCAAAGTCGTTTCGACCTGTCGACGGGGAGTCTGACTTGGGGCGGGGCGCACGCAGTCACGCGCGCCTCTCATCACCCAGTGATACTCTACGCATTTTCCTTGACGCGGGCGGCCGACCGTGGGCTGAACTTGATCATGCCCCGGTACGAATTACCCACGCCAGATATGGCGTTTCTCGTCTAGAGGTGCCGGTGCGGTACAGACTTCCCGACCTCTCCAGAAATGTTTTCAGCTGGGACACCTCCGCCAGAAGACCTTTTTGTCCTTGGAGGTGTTGCCAGCGTGCATTTTAATGGATTCTCAAAATCGCCACAAGGGGGTGGGATTTTGGCGGACTACAGAAAAGAGATCTCCTTGTGGTACGGGAGCACTCCTACCTTTATGCTGTGTATAGCATACATTTGGGTAATTCCTCTACAACCGCAAGAGGGGTCAATGTACACCGGCCGTGCTTTGACTAAAGAACACCCACGGCGCCAGCGGAGGAGAGGAGCTCCTCACTCGTACGTGGGTCAACACTGCTGGGAGCCCTGTCGGAGACGACGGTCTCCGCATAGTGGTATACGTCTGACCTGAAAGTGTAGTTTTACCACACACTCAGTCGAACACCCACACAGCGCCGACTCGGGCGCTATCTAGACAAGCGACTTAATTTTTCTAATACGAGTAATAGTCGCAAAGAAAGTCGCGTTATGCGTGGCAACCACGCGGCATTGCGGACTGGCCAAGCGTGGTGCAGCTCTTTGGGTAGAGACTGGTCTCACTCTCTTGTCGTGGTGCCGTAACTAGGACCATTCAAGGCGTGACTGGACATTTACATGCCGGTCGGCCCCTAATAGCCACCGACACCGCCAGTCGGTTACTGTCGGGGGGTGTGGGGGGGGAGGGGGTCCCTGTAAGACAGGACCCCGCGCCCCTGCTACAAGGCGGGTGTGGGCCCCACAGAGCAGGATACCTGGACTGTGCATCCACCACGTTAGGACTTAATGGTCACTCTGAGGGCTCCCGCGCTACTCGTGCGCAGTCTCCACGCTTTCAAAGGAGGTGACACAGAGCAATACTGACTTTCACCTTCTACCCCTTTCCTTACTACAGGGAATTTTCTCCTGTGTGGAGAAAAGTTACAAGGCCACATTCACTAAGTTAGTAAAGTGTCCCTGGCCATGGTGGGGTCCAGCCGGGGGGCCCAGCTTGGTATAGCGTGGGGTCCCACTCTCACGTCCCTAGCCGCTACCGAGTACCAGCCTGATACAGGGTGGGACTCCGGTTCTGCAGCTGCCGCCGTTGATGGACCCCAGACCGACACAGTGCGGGGTTCAATCTTAGCGGGGGACGCCCTCGTGTCCTGATAGCCATCCGGCGCATCAGAGTACGTGAGGAGGTCCCATCTCGCCAGGCTAGTTTTTAGCCGTCGGCGGAGGCTCTTTCGGGACATGCGGGAGCAATGCCCGCACGAGCCGGGGTTATCGACAGCCTCCACCACATCATGGTGTTCCAGCCCGAGGCAGGACGAGCAGACCTGGTGTGTGTCTGTGTCCGAGATCTTGAACCCACAGCCACAGAGCCTTGCAACTGAGTTCCCGGCTCCTCTGGTGTGAGGGAGAGAGGCGTCCATCTTGTCTGCCGTGGTGACGGCGTGGAGAGGGCCCGCTCTCAGCAGGAAAGTTGCCGGGGAAAAATCTAACAACTCGTCCTTAGTCCGGAGAAAAGCGACGGCGTAGATTTATTTCCGAAAGGGGTATTAACTGGTGTGTTAATAGCCCTTAATTATTTTCTTCTCTGGTATGAGAGTAGAAGAAAACGTCCTCGCCGTCGTGGTATCGATAGCGAGGGAGACAAGCTAGCGGCGTGGTGTGCAGCTAGCTAGAAGTCAAAACCTTACCTCTCGATTTCAGGAGAAAAGGAAAAAGGATGAGGTCGAATGTGGTACTAACTGGTGTGTTAGTACCTACAATCTTCTCTTCGAAGAATATCTAAGGGTAGCTCGCGAGCGTCCGTCGACCGAATTTAGCTAGGATAGCTTGGATCCGTCTGTGGACAGTTAAGCTGCGCGGCTGCCGATAAAGAGATGTGCTCTGAAGCGAGAAGAGGTGTTTGAATGACGCATGCGTCGTGGCGCAAGCTACTTATAGGGGGTGGATTCCCTGACGATGACGTCGAGATCACCCGCCAATCAGAATTGGCGTAAATGAGATTGATGCTTCTGTTTGCTCCGCGATGAGGCGTATCCCATAGTGAGACATCGAACGGAGTGTTATGAATGAGAACTGAAGCTGGACTTGGACGTGCAACAGCCAAATACACCCCCCGGGTACAAAATAAAGGTATGCATAAACAAACCAAGGCGGAACCAATTTACATATGAATATATGATTTTGGTGAAGTTCACAATAACAGAAAATGAAGGTTTTCAAGTATACAAATAGCCAAAATAAAAAAGACATAGAATAGCAATTTCATTTAAAAAAATGTATATCAGTTAGGCTATACATTGGGAGGGGGGACATTTTGAGTGTATCTGAATATTGGGGGAGATGTGTCAATGTGAATTCGGCCCTGTTCGTTATGACATTCCCCGTGTTAACAATTGCGTCAATGTTCTCCTTCCTAAACATTAAAACAGTGCCTAAACATGAGCAATGTTGAAGGCCTAGTAATAAAAGGACTCAAATCCTATTTAAGTTGCTTTTTGTCAGTTGAATAAATGTAAGTGATAATGTCATAATAGGCATTTTATATCTTCTCATATTGGTCGCGGGCCCCTGAATTAAATCAAATGGGAATCTTATTGTGGCTCACTTTGTGGCAAATATCCTATTCATTAAACGTGTAAAACTAGCATTTAGCGATGTATTCTAACTTGTAACACTACTACTCCTAATGATCGACAGTCTTCTTTATAACTGGCAGACAGCCATTAGTATTAGCTACCAGAGTACAGCTGGTAGGGCTGGATGCGTTTTATTTTCCACAGCACAATACCTAGCTTCTTTAAATCCCACTAACCCTGTAGGTGGAAGTTCCTACTTACTGCTGCCTGTATGTCCAACAGGATATGGCTTTTTAACAACATAAATAGTCTCCCTGTGGGCCAAGTGCAGTGCAGAACTTCTGCACCTATGTCCTACTTTTTGTGTTGACGGTCTGTACTGGTGTGCCAGCAAACAAAAGAACCGACCAATACAAGACCTGAATAATTCAAGGCAAAGTGTAACGCAACACTCTGTCGTCGTGGTGTAGTAGGAAATAACGGCAAATAACACAAGTCCTAGTTTCAAAACCAGCACGGAAACAAATGAACTGAATGACCAGCCAGCTCAGGCAGTATAGTCACACATATCTGGCAGCAAGGTTTAGGAAAAACTGCCTTGCTACTCACTCGATCACGTTAGCCACTTTAGCTTAATGAAACCGGTTATTTTGGTCAGAGGTTAGGAAATTAACTCCAATTTAAACAGTTTACTCCAACAATTTTCACTAAACTTGTGCTTTAAGAGAATGTTACATCACAAATGTAGCTTAAATAAGAACCGGGCTTAGATCATCTAAATCGTGACTGCAAGCTATATGAAAGCTAGCCTGCAGAATTTAAGTTCATTTTTTAGGCAAAAATGACCACAGATAAAGGCACAAATATACAACTAATATGAAATTCAGCACAACTTGAATGGCTGTTTAACCTGCACAGCTTTAGTTGACAGCTCGTAAAGCTAATGTAATGTTCAGCAACCAATTATGTTCGTCAACCTGCTTAGTAAACAGATGCATATCCATGCTCCAGGTGATGGCTTGTCCTAACTGTTGACTCTAAACCAGCTTCCATGGCTACGACTATTCTTCGAAACAAAATATCAACGAACAATACACATGCTTACATAAACGCATTTGAGGCGTTCAAACGCATGGGGTTCCTGCACCGTTTACACTCAGCCAAATAACTTTATTGTCACCTAATAGTCCATTTCATCTCCCCTTCACGAATTCATTCATTCTTATTGCAAATACATGTTTGTGTATCGGTAAGTAGGCTGAACAGTAACGTTTGGCTAGCAAGTGGCTGCTTCAAGCCTGGCTAATCAGCAGCTAGCGTTAGCTAACGTTGACGCTAGTGCTGGAGTATCCCTTTACTGCTTACCTTCAACGGCCTCGCAGATGTTTTTCTCATCGTCCCATTTAGTTTTCCAGCAAGTGGCCACATGCGAATACCATACACGTTTCCAATACCAACAATTCCTAACTTTTTATCATCTTCATAGGTGGAACTACTTGTTAAATCCCAGACCGGACCACCGCCGACAAAGTAATTTCTCTACCACTTACAACAACAACGTCAACCGAAGAATAGTACCCGCCCCCACAAAGATCCAGCCAATCAGAACGTAGAGTCAATTTCATTGACATTTATAAGAACCAATGGTCATTCTCGGAGTCTTTGACTGATGTTCCCCGATAGAGTAAACACCAAATGAGAACGAGAGTACAAAACATGCGTTTGCCAATTGGCTGCAGAGAAATAAAGGGCAAGGGGTTTTGTCCAAGTAGCCTATGAGTGTGGCATTGATGGCCCAGAGTGGCAGGTGCTTTGGGGTTGACAAAACAACAGGGGCGGCACCACTGCCAGGGTGAGGTCATCGAGAATGATGTAAAATCGACGTCATTTGCGGGGCTAAATAAAACACAACCGGACACACGCATCTTTTAAAAAGTTTAATGTTCCCCAAGTTATATAAAAACAAAACACAACATTACACACGCAACATTGAGAAACGTATACAACATTTTGAAGGAACAATAATAATGCAGTACATGCAAGTCGGTGTCGAAAGTAAAATTATAGTTTCACAGACAGCTGAATAGATACCCTTTAGTTGCATTGTAAAGCAGCATAAGCAATTTACAAAAAAATGAAAATGCTGCTTTGAGGCCAATTTATTAATTTGTTATTCGTCTCTTCCGAGACTTTCCTAAACCCAATATTTGAAATGTGTACAACTAGGTGCCATACAACTGTTACACAAAAATATCGTACGAAAAAACTGCTTCTTATGAGAAGATGAGGATTAGAAACTGCCCGTCAAAGTGACAGACACGCCAATGACAAGCGCCAAACTCAACGACGCCTCCTGTCCGGACTTCTGCTGCGTCTCCGTCCACCAGTCCTGGGGGGGGGGAAAGGAAAAGTTCAATGACTGGGAAATTATATTAAGCACAGGGTTCTCCAGATTTTGCAAACACTGAGGGCTAGGCAATATATGAGAAATTAAAAAGGCTTGATCATGAAATAGCACCAAAATTAGCATATAGCGCAGAAATCTTTCAAAAATGCAGATGACAAAGAGAAACATAAATGTTGACAACACTCTTTTGGGTCCTGGAAGTTACAGTCACTACGCCGAAACACACAATAAATAAACACAACACCCTCACCTCCTCTTGTTCTTGGGGGGCCCTCTGACAAATCCCCAGTCAACACTGATAGGCTGGCCCATCATGTCCTGAGCGTTGAGCCCTTCCATGGCTGCCTGGGCCTCTTTGTATGTCTCATACTCCACCAGAGCATATCCCTTAAACAGTCATCAGGAGAGCATGTGAGTTAATGACAATGTATGGGATCACTTTTTGGGAATTAGGCAACGCTTCATTAAAATTCACAAACAGGTTTACTGACCCTTTAATGTTATATTCTAATAGGAAACAAGTGTTTTTAGATTAGCATAAAAGCTAAGCCAACATTACACACATTAGATGACTGAAGCATTGAAAAAGAACCCAAAAAACATTCAAGTTTGACACTAAATCATGTAAGGCTTGAAACTGCTTGTACTGAAATGACAGTGGAGAAATAGTTTCAGGGCCAAATTTGTTCTCTCTTCATATCTGAAACAATGCTGCCATCTTGTGGATTACAGGACCGTTTTTGTACATTTGGACAGTAAAAGAAACGGTCAATGTGTCTTTTTGAGAAAACCATTAGAGAAATACAGATCCATTCTGCGAACGTTTGTTTATCCCGCAATTAAAAACGTATACATATGTTATGTTAACAATTTGCCAATAGCAAGTAGCTGTGACAACATGGTTTACTTGTAAAGCAAATCTGCTTAACATAGAAGTGTTTAGGTTTTGTAGTCAACAAAAAATAAACGTCTTATACCAGTCAGGAAGGATGAAACGTGTATTGTGATCTCTTCATATGGAAATAATTCTTAATTTAGGCAAGAATTAGTGTGATTTAGGGTGACTAGGGCAGTTGTTTTCCTGGCTACGTTGACACAGGGTTTGTTGCTTTTATAGTCTCATTTCATTTTTAAAATTGGTTCTAGCCAAAGCTGTTGTACAAGGCTTTGTACTGTTACCATAAATGATCAAATAACACAGTCGTGCTGCCAAACAGTTGCAGGGCAATATTGAAATAGTTAAGAAAACTAAGAATAATTGTTTCTCTCATTTTAAAGTTAGATTGAAAATTCAAGTCTTTTTTCCCCTCTCATTGGAAGATGATTTAATCGGTCATTTATTAGCTCAATATCCTCACAGGAAGCGGGTGTGTAGCAAACTAAATATAATTAGGCCATCTTAAATGATATTATCCATCAGATGGGCTGTCTTAATAACAAGTCAGCACAACGCCTTTTTAAAATTAAGCCAACAAAGGGTGTGTGTAGAGTATTGGTGAGTCTCATTTTCTATTGAACCACTGAACTATAATATCATTTTTAATTCCAAAAGTATCTTCTCAAAAAACCAATTTCTTTCACTGACTTTTTATTTTCTCAGTAGGTTAACATCAAAGTTGAACATCTATTGGATTGTTTAAATAAAGGTTGTACTCCCCATAACGGTTTATAATGTACATGTACAACTAAAATCGGTTGAAGAAAGTGGCCCAGAGGCTGTGTCACAGAAACATGAATGGTTATCCGTCTCACCTTGAGGTAGCCTGTTCTGCGGTCGAGGTTTAAATGCAGGTTTTTGATTTCTCCAAACTCTGAAAACTTGTCATGGATGTCTTCCTCTGTGGCCTCTTCATGTACACCTGTTACAAATAGGATCCAGCCTTCCACAGCTGCAAAAACAGAAAAACAAGAATAGGCGTAAGGGTCTGTTTTTTTTTTTAACGTGTTGATCCTGCCGCTTTCTACCTATATTCCATGATTTACTTCATGTTTGTCATTGCTTGTTTTGCACAATTCAAAAAACATAAGCATTTCTGAAAATAAAGAGCAACACACATAATATACTGATAACTCAAGGAACAGTCCCAACATGTGACACAGAACAAGATGTTTTACTTTATTGTACATCAGACAAATTGTGTTATTTAAATCTATATGTTTTGAATGTGCAAATTAAAGCATTTAAAATGTAATGCAAATGTGATTTTAGAGGAGACACAAACTGGTTACGGATACAGAGATTTTAAACATTTGTTTTGTGAAATGTAATGAATTGTCTAAGTTTTAAACAAAGCACTTGATGAATCACATTGGCATTTAAGGGTGACGTGTATTTTTTACTTGGTTCTAATTGTGTAAACATTTAATTTACAGAGAAAAACAGCAACACTTACATCTCTGAGGGCCTGGTTCGTCACCGTCCTGCTCCACAGTATCGTAGTCTTCTTTGATTCTGGACCTGGCTCCTTCCTCTGGAAACAGTAACACAGAGAAATATCAAGCACTGACGACAAATCTAACAGCATGCTGAAAAATGAGATTACAGGTGAAAATATATCTTTCTCTGCCCAAGATGGTCTTAGTGTGAAACACAAATTAGACCTTTCAAGGGATGTTATGTTCTGTTCTAAACCATGTCTTTTCCAAAAGGTAAAATGTTCAATGTGTGTTTCTCCAAGTCAATATGATAACATTTCAACTTATAGCTAAAAGTCTGGTGATATTAAACCAATTCAAACCTAGGCCTTTATTTCGCAGGAAAGACACTTTTCTAGCATTAAACTGCATTCGAAACGTCCATGGTCCTTTTATAAGTTTAAATAAGTGGAGAGCCCATTATAATATATTACAATGTTAGTTATATCAACAATAAAGGAAATATAGGGATAACTTTGAAGAAAACATAAAGCAATATAACCCAAACAATGGTAACTCACCTGAGCCGAAGCCTCGTCCTTTCCTCTTCTTGGCCTTCTCCTTTAATTTGTGGATGCTCTCTGGGAAAGAAAAATGTAAACTTGACTTGAGTTACAGTTATAAAATGCAAACTCAGCTGATATAATTTGAATAGTTAACATGATGATTACATGAAAGCAAAACAAAACAAATGATAAGGACGCTGAAATAGGTACGAGTGTAAGTCCTGTCCCCTTTTATTAGCGTATCCTACCATTAGCCTTTAGCTAAAGTTTAAAAAAACAGAAACAGCGTGCTATCGTCGGCTAATAACATGCTACGTGTGATCAAATGATAGCTTTAAGGATATACAAAATGATTTTACGTGGTTTGTGAAAGGGACCTTTTCAACAATTATTACCTAGCTATCTCACAAACAATGTTTGAATGAACCACCAGTACGTTGTTAGCTTCATATTAGCTTGTTAGCATTTCTTTGGCCTTCCACCACGCAGTCAGCGTTTTTACTTCGTAGCATTTACAGCTACTTCCGTTTTAAAGTAAACTTAAATATTTACACATTGTTTGAACGCTGGCCTTATGGAGCATCTGATCTAAGTGGAGTTAAGTATTAAAATTACCATCACCATCCTCATCCATAGGAAAGTCCTCGCCTCCCGCTTCATGAAGATCCAACACGTCCGCCATGATGTCTGTCTGTTGGTGGTCTGTGTACGTACGTAACGCGCGTAAGTAAACAGATCGGCGGATGTTGCCAGGTTACGTAAAAGTCAGTAACCAAGTAAATACATTAAAGTCGTGTACATTCATATTTATTTCAGTTGTACTGCTTATAATACCTACAACAACAATGTCAAATCTAAATACCTGTACCAATTGGCGTGAACAATAACTTACAACTTTACTACACATTCAAGTTTCAAACAAAAAAGCATTAGCTACATACAACCAAATGATGAACTCCTTCTACTGTAGGCCTACTATATCTTTAAGGAGGAGCCTATGTTGCATTTAAGTTGAATTTATGAACAAAATAGACAGATGGATCAACAGTACAATCCTGTTTATGCATTGTTCATAATCACATTATTTAATTAGTAGTAGTAGTAGTAGTAGTAGTAGTAGTAGTAGTAGTAGTAGTGTGTTATAACAGTCACAGGAGACCTTTTATGTATTTAAATTCTGATTAAACATTCATACTTTACGTATGCTTGACTAACATTATGAATGAAGGACTTTTACAGTGAGGTACAGTCAATTTAACTTAAGTTAGAGATCTTAATACATCTACCACCCCTTCCTTGTGGTTCAATATTTAAAGTTGTAGGCTTACATGTTGTTAATATGTAACATTGCCAGTAGAGGGCTCTTATGCACCCAAACAGACAACTGTTCCATGTTCTGAGGCTGCATGTTGAGGAAAGAAGGACTGACATTTTATCACCATCTAGTGGTAAGTTGGATCAGTACAGGGGAGACTGACAAAAGTGTTTTATCTTAAAATGCCAAGTGAATATGTCCTGGAAGGTTGCTGTGTAAACTGATATAAAATGTAATTTAATCTCCAAGAATACCAGTGGGTTGATTCCAAAATATGTGTCATATCATGTTCTACGGACTTTAAGGAAAAGCTGAGGTTTGGAGAGTGTTTTTGGTGAATGTCCTGAGAGGCCTCTCGGGTGTTTAGAGTGGGGCCTGAGTGGAGAAGACCAGTTTCGGAATACGGGATTTCTGAAAGTTGATTTTGACAAACATCACAAGATTTAAGCAGTTGTAATCACAATAGCAAAATGAAGTTCAAACAGGGTGGCAGCCAGGGCTTGCTTTTAATTTAAAAATAACGTTTCTAACAAGGTTGCCCTTAAGAAGGGTCCTCTCTCAAAATGTAAACAGGAAAGTCATTGACCAGTGAGCTTCTCGGTTTTACCTGTTGCCATTGCAATCCAAAACCACAATGAATGCAAAATCATGTGTTCATAGATGAAAAGTGTGTCAGTGGTCAGAGTTAGACAATGGTCTAGTAGAGAGTTAGGAGCTTTCTTTAGCATGTATGTTTCTGATAGTAAACTGGCTGTAAAGCCAGCCCACATTTCCAATATTACGTCATATCGGACTCAAATCTGGATCAGCTCCTTTCTACCCCAGCTTTTAGAGATGTGGGTATGGAGGAAAAGAGAGAGGGTTGTATTTTCTGACACTTTGTGAGTTCCCTCGCACACCGGGGGACACATATTTATGTATAAAAGACATCAAAAAGTGCATTTTGCATGATGGACACATTTAAGGTCAATAGAAAAATAAATTCATATTGATAACCACGGTAATTGAACCTACTCTGAACCAAAACACAGACATTAAAAGCGAAAATGATACAATTTGTCAATTATCTCAAATAATTTGATTTGATGCATGTGTCACATACACAATCCTTACATTTACAGACCTAGAGTCAGTGTAATGCATACTTAGATCAGATTATAGCTGATCTGTACTTTAATCGTATTTTGAACCTTTAAGCATGAGAATGTCCACATCATTCCCATATTATCATGACCCTATGACATAAATTCATCAAACAGTAGGAAATGGGCTATATCATTTTTGTGACAGAATATCTGTTTTTGGTCTTTCTAAATCAGTATTACTGTGAATGAACGCACATTTTTAATTAACCTAGTTTTATTTCATCACCTTTTATTTGGTTGTTTTTACTTTAATGCTGCTGTCAAACACTGGTTCAGCGGCGTGAAGCTGCTGCCTCGACATTTTCAACAGTATGCTTTGAAAGGTAGAATCTGAGATGGCACACAAAGCATAGAATATTTTCTTTGTTATCTCTTTATTAGACTCATTGTTCCCAAACAAGGGACGTACAGCATCAAGAGAAATATAAACAAATGGATGAGTATGTTACCATAGTTACATTGCAGACTGTCCAACCTTGCCTACAGCTGCTGGGGGCCGATCACACCGAGACCAGTTTTTAGCAAAGCGTTTTCTGTGTGATCATGATGAAGACACAATATGTTTCCACACAGAACATACAAAAGGATAACACATTAAATGCACATGTAGGCAAGATAAATGTATCTATTTGATGACATATTGGGCACATCTTATCAGGAGCTCCTCAGCCTGCTGAGAGCTCTGTCAGTAGAGCCGAGCAACTCTCTCTCATCAAATGACCCATGTGTTAAACAGGAAACAATGCATGAATCCACCCTGCCATCACTTAAAAAAATAGGGCAGATTAAAAATATCTCAGAGCTCTGAAGTTAAATGCTGTCTAATGTATCGACCTATGATTGAAAAGAAAAACAACTGACACAAAAAATATTACTTAACGGAAAAACACAATAGAAATTAAATCTTCATTAAAACCATTTATCTTTTTGCGTTTTTATTGTCATCACCTTCATAGTTTGTGTTTATTGTCTTTTTCTTTCTTCTGTTGGAATATCTCAATTTAAAATACTAACATACAATTAAAATACTGGGTTCAGAACGTAGTTAAAGTATCAAAAGTGCAGGAAGAATTATTCCTGTCACATTGCTATTGCTGATGCTGAGCCCTTTAAGCTGGTTGAAGTAAGCCTACATTTCACAACGTTATAAACTGTATAACTTTATATATAGTTTATAACAATACATCACATTTTAAAAGCTGATTATATGTTAAACCCTGATTTTCAACTTAACCAGTAACCAGCTCTCATAAGTGTTGTTGAGAGACAATTACAAAAACTAGTTATTTTCCTCTTTAAATTTAAAGTAGGCCTACATAAACTTGAAATACTCAAGACTCGGTTAAGCCCGGATAAAGATTGTACTTGTCTTGTCAGGTCACTTCTCTTCTTTTGTCTCATCGTCCAGAGCTATAAAAGCTTCTGACTCTGACATAATTCACCGTTAGGTTGAGAACCCAAGGAGTTAAGGTATGTCTCTTGCTTCACTTTGGTGTTTCTTTTCCTTTTTATGGCTGTAAACAGAATAATTTTGTTCGAGTTTGAGGGAAACACATTTGCTAGGTCGTACATGATTTAATTCAACCTGTATTTCACCAAATATTGTGAATCAGATGTAGCCGTTGAATGATAACTTAAACACTCAGATCAAGGGATTGATGGAAAAGTTTGTGCATAAGGTGATCGACTCACTAGACCAAGGCCCGGCTCCGCCTAAGTAAAACTTGTGTTGGTTTGATCCAGCTGCAAAATGCTCCCTTTTGGTTGTTTCCAAAGCACTTCCCTGGGTTTGTCTGTCATGGTCCTTTCTTTTAATTAGCTGAGATGTAATGCTTGAATGTCATCATTAAACCGGTTTTAAATTCATCATGACTTATTCTTTATTTTTGCTCATATGGGTTCATACTTACATTATGAGCACAGAGATTAATTTATGAAAAGCCAAAGGCCAAGTAATCAAGTTGAAATGGAATATATTGTGGCAGAATCTGATGAGAGTTACTCATTGAAGTGTAGATCGATAACAACATTACCTCTAACCTTTGGGTCATTGATGTTTTCCATAATTCATGGTTCAATATTCTGAAGGAGCTGTCAAGAAGGTTGGAGCGTTGATAAGCCGTAAAATAATGGATGTATTGACTTTAAGCCAATGATTAACCTTATACAAAACCAGAATAATAACCGGGACAAATCTGAGCATGTAAAAGTATTATTTTATTACACTTGGAAAATGAATGAAAGGTTTAAAAAAATAAGCAGATTACCAAAAGCGACATTTGTGTATTTCTGTATTTAGACAAATTGGACACAGATTACATCAAGTTCTTTAGTATTTCAGAAATTCCTTATTTACAGTTTTATCCAGTTTCTGATAACAGAACAATCCTAACAAATGTTTTCCATGTGAAAAAATGGTTCAAACAGTGGGTTTAAAGGTAATTGTGAGGTAATTGTGGCATATTTGTTTTGAAAATAAGAAAATGTGTGTTTCTTACCAGTTCAAATCCACCTTTCCGGTATGCTGCCATCTAAACCACACAGAAGGGACAGGTACAATTACGGCAAACACTTCAGATGTAAACCAATATAATTTAAATAAAAAAGATGAATTGGATAAAGGTAAATCACTCTAAACCCAAACATAATGGTCCGTTATCGATCAGCAATGATTTTGAAACACACAGTCAACCAATAACTCAAAAGTATTTGCATGCTGTAAAAAAATCAGATTAATATCAGCCATATCTGGGCAATTTATTTCACTGTGAAATATATTTGAAAGGTTAAATACATTTTGCAAAACTACTATTTACAAAACGTTGCCTTTTAATATCTTTAATACAGGGTTTTCATACAAATTGTGTGACTTCGCCACGGAGATAAATTGTGATTTGACCCAGTTTAGTCTGTTCCGCATAATAACACATCAGGGTGTAATTGCAGCTCATCTTTTTTGGAAGTAGCTGGAGCACTTGAGGTTTTATTATGCCACCGCCCAAAGGGAAGATTAAAGCTCAGAGTTACATTTTGAAAGAAATGAAACAGACATGGCTTGTATTTGGGTTTCTGTCTCAAAGCAGTGAGGAGGACAATGACTTGTTGTCAGCTTAATCACAGAACAACAAAATCACTAGTCTTCCATGCTGCTATGGACTTAATCTCTCAAACGATGAAGGCATTTAAATAACTGATACGTTTTTTTCCTAAATGTATTCTCTGTCTGTTAATACAAAATGTCAAATTCAACAATGAAATCATTAACGGGAAC